AATTACATATAAAGGAAACAACTTTTCATGTCCTAAGATAACCTTTTATTAATTATGAATTTAATATAACTCCCGCCCAGGGGACGTGTACTCCAGCTAGTTCTCAATATGATAAATAATTTATATTAAAACGTATCTATAATGTGCACACTTTTCCACATGTATATTTTTCAAATATTATAAGGATTTAATAAAACCTAGTATTATTTGAAAACTTTACTGCGAAATTGATTAAAGTATTAAACATTAAATATCACAACAAAAATGTAACATTTAACGCACAGAAAAATTATAATGCTTTTGACAATGTAAAATGCAATCTATAAATTTATTTATTTATTTTTGTAAAGCATATAAGCTATTTCTTGCCCTGGCGTACAACTAACCTTAAAACAAAAATATTGCATTCAAGTTGTTATTTGAAATTATGTAGCTTATTAAATCATTAAATATATGAGACTCTGCACGGCACGAGTATGACTTATGCAAACTGCTTAGCCTAAAGTTATTCGTAAATAAGTATCAGCGAAAGAATTATTTCATGTAATAATATATTACTGCAACTGTTTACAGTATAATAGTTTGAGTTGTCAAAAAGTGCCTCATTACAAGCAGATGCTACTGGGCAGAGACATAGCGCAGAATGTGTAGGCGCCCCTGTGAATTTTTCCATCGCGCCCTCTTCGTATCCGATTTATCATAGCGCTATGGGCCCCAATTTAGCGTTCCTCCCCTTCACACACGTACTACGGGGTCTGTAGGGGGAATTACTATGCCCCTGTTATTGTGTAAATCCTTTAGTTCTGTTCGTAAAGTTCTCGCTTAGCATGTACAAGGTCCCGAGTTCAATTTTGCTCACAGAATATGGAAAAAATAGTATCATCAACACATTTCATGTATATAATGATATCTTAAAACATTTCACATACGTTCTTAAAATGCGAACTTTCGTTTTTTTAATCTGGAACTGGAACTAAAAACTAGGCATATCTCAGAGTTCCCAGTTGTTGTTTTTTATTTTATTTTAAATACAATTTTTAAAAGTTTAAATGAAGTGAACGCAAACCCAAATGTCTGGATTGAGCCTTTGAAATTGAAGTTGATAATATCTCTTAGTTTCTTTAAGGTGGCTTAATCAAAGGTTCCTATCTACGTTATTATCGACTATTTTGGCTGCGAATTAAACCACAGTAATACCAACCATGTACACATCTGCTAATTATGAGTTGACTTGCCTGTACACGAAACTGTTCCATTGCCAGTAAAACCGGGTAAACATTTGCATACATAATGGCCTGGTAGGTTACAACATTCGGCATTGTCTACACATAGGGCAGCTAGAGTGGGTATCTCACATTCGTTGATATCTAAAATAAAAAACATATTATTATATTAACAAAACTCAAGTAAGTTTACTGATATAACGAAATAGTATCGTCGTAAGATTTCATTTACGTTCCTATAGCAATGTTTATTAAAAATTGAATATTCTACTTACATTGGAACAATCTATTATCATTCACCTCAAAAAGAAAGTTGGAACAGTAATATTACATCTAAAATAATTCAGTTGTATATTTGTTTGTTTTGTTGTTAAATGCAAAACTACCCACTGGATTATCTGTGATATGCCCATCACGGGTTAAAAAAACCAAGGTATTGGCGTTATTAATCAATATATATCTCCCTCCCCTATATATATATATATATATAACAGCAGTAGGTAGATGCTGATCGGTTGTCTCTGTGTTGTCTTTGGTTCGAAGATAGAAACGTTGTCACGCTATCTGGACTGTGCACTGACAAGCGTACTGCCACAGGAGTCCATAATTATATAGGGGAGAGACTGTGCATTGGCAACTGTCCATTGGCAACTGCTAAAAACTCTCCCAACGTTTAACCATAAGCAAGATACAACTGCCCCCCCCCTCCTGTGAAACAGCGGTAAATCTGAAGACTTACACAAGTTATAACTCTAAAAACCGGGTTTTGATACCCATGGCGAGCACAGTACAGTTAGCCCATTGTGTAACTTTGTTCTTAACAATAAGCAAACAAAAATTTTCCTCTATTTTAGTATTAATTATTATTATGTACCACTTTGTTTTATACTACGTACCTGAGGTAAATAGCAAGTGATTGCGTTTTAATAAAAAAAAAAAAAATAGGAAATCGAGACTGTTAATCATAAAACGACACTATAGCCAATGATACGACATCTTCTTGACTTCATTATTTATGCATGAAAAAAAGATATCTTGCACCGTCCATAATCCCAAACCACCGAAGCCCCACAGTAGCACAGCGGTATGTCTGCGGACTTATACTACTAGAAACCAGGTTTCGATACCCGTGGTGGGCAGAGCACAGATAGCCCTTTGTGTAGCTTTGTGCTTAATAATAAACAACAACAAGCAAGCGCTTTCACTTTATATTATTGATTATTGTGCATCATTTTTATAATTATTTTTATTTTTAACGCAAGGTACCCAATGTAAATAAGATTATTTTAATATTACTTCTACTACTATGCTTGGGGAGTTTGCTACAGGCCTCGACACAGGCTCCTCTTTCTCCGTTAATCTCCTAAATGTTATTCTAATTTAATGTACAATTCAATTTGAGTTAAGTAGTAGCATCTATCCTTTCCACCTAGATTTCAAGCTGGCTCCACTTTTATACTTCCCACTTCTTTTTTCCAATATTCCAAATACAATAACAGCTGTGAAATTTGTGAACGTTCTCATTTCACAAATTACTTTTTACATGTTTCCATGTTATACCTTAGAAACATGGGTTGTGAACTCTAACTGTAGTCAGTGTTCTTTGTAATTCACTTTATGTCTGTATTTGAAACTTTAATTCTCGAATCAGCTTCTAGCTTTTCAATCTACTTTATCAAATCATTAAAGTCAACGTCCAGTTTGGCGTAATAAGGGCTAGTTCACCAATGCTTGAAGTTGCTGCGATGATTTACACACCAAAATGTCGCATTTTAGATTGGGGAGTGCAAAAGCATATAGCGTTTTACTAACTTCAACACATGATGTTCATCAAGAGAACTCATCACGCCAGGCTAAAACTGCTGCCTTCGTAGCGATTGCCATTCATTGATATTGATTGTTTAAAAAAAGAGGGGAAACAAGTAATAGAAACATTTTTGAAAAAAATAAAATAAGGATAATGTAGGGTTTGAATTTCGCGCAAAGCTACACGAGGAATGTCTGCCCTAGCCGTCCCTAATTTAGTAGTAAAAGACTAGAGGGAAAGCGCTAGTCATCATCACCCACTGTCAACACTTGGGATACTTTTTTACCAACGAATAGTGGGATTGACCAACACATTATAATGCCCCACGGCTGCAAGGGCAAACATGTTTGGTGGGAGGGGGATTCGAAACCACAACCCCCAGATTGCGAATCAAGCGCCCTAACCACTTGGCCATTCCGGGCCATGATGTAGGGATGGCAATGCCAAAAAACGTACAGAAACAAAACAGGGATGAATACATAAAACCATACAAAAATCCCTACATAAGTAGCCACTGAATCAGTGTTACAAGCTTATGAGAATTAGCCATTGTAAGATTTATGGCATTATTCAGTTTAAATGCTTTTATTCAAACCTGAAGTCAAGCAAATGAAAGGAATTCAACATTTAATTGTAGATAAAAGTTTTCTTGGAAATATTTTGCTACTTACGTGGGTACTTTTGTATCGTTTATCCAAACCTTGTTTCTTTAATTTTTGGCAGTTGCATCCCTACATCATCCTTATATTTTTCATATGTTTTTTGTTTTTGTTTTTGTAATGATGGTTTAGTTACTTGTACCTCCATTGCCTCTGTTCATTTTTGGATTTTTTCGTTAATGAGAATAGCTACCATATACTTTTTCTCCTTAAAATCTAATATCAAACAGTTTTATGTACTTGTCCTGAAGAAGCCGCAAAGACGAAACGTCGGTTAAAATAAAAAGTTCTGTGATAATTATTTGGAGTGTGAAGGCAGTTTTTTCTAACTTTATTATCAAAATGTATAAATCCTTTCAGTATAAGACAACAAAAATAACCTGTATATCTCATTAGTGGTTCATAGAAACTAATTAAATGTTTACTTAGGGGTATACTAAAAAGTAAAATGCTACATAAAATATATTGGCTTGTCATATAATTACTGTATCATTTATCAAATCACTGATTTTTTCTTTTGCTTTATCTGACTATTTATTTATCTGTTTTTGTTGTTTATAATCAAAAGAAATAATGTCGGTGAGGGAGAAGTGGTATCATACCGTGACAATCGAAACCATCTCCTTCGTACCCAGAAAAACAAGAACAGTAAAAACTTCCCATTGTATTCGTACAGCGGGCAAATACGTCACATGGTCTATATTTACATTCGTTTTCATCTGAAAATAACAAGATCAAACATAAACATATATTAAAACACAACTGTTACTTTAATTTAACAAGTTTCTTTGCACAGGGTTTTAACTTATACTTAGAAAACAGTGTATATTTTTCTAAGGGCATATTTCTCTAGCTGATCTAACTCAATCGATATGTATATATACGTGTTATATATCCGTTTATAAGATACAAGCGTAAAACCTACAGAAACGTCATTAGATATTTATGTTTTAGGCTAGTAAGTTTTCTATTAACCAAAAGAGCACA